CTTTGTAGAATGTACGGTTCACTTTCTCAACTGATTACAATCACGGACCAGTAGATGCCCCTTTGTGAACCGCGCTCTTTTACTAAAGTGGCTTGTAAGTAGTGGCTCGCACGAAGTTTCGGATTCACTGTTTGTAATAGGTAGTTTCTGGGATATTCTTTTTCCTCCAGGTTTAGTGCCTTTCTCCTCTGGGTGGGTTTTCCTCCGTCTCCAAGTATTCTCCTCCAGGCTGTGTTCTCGTGTTCTCGGGAAATACCTACACTATTCTCGGTACCCCGCGTTTTGTTGAAATGAACTGCTAACTGTTCCAGCCCTAGGCTCGCTTTAAGTTCTTTACTAGTCGATTTGAAAGCACGGACTAGATGTGAATTCCCTCTTTAGAGATCTTCCAGCGCCTATAGGGCATAATTTTACGGTCTGGTGGATGAGGCGGCAAAAGGCTTACACACGGCTCTATTATTACTATATTAGGGCCGGTTTCTGGGGGAAAGGGTGCATCCTATGGGATGCAGGATTAGAATTTTCTACGTTACTGGGGTAGTAATATCAATAGTTGTTGGCTTATTATTTGGTTTATGCAGCATAGTGTTAATGTATGAACACGCTAAAACTTTCTACACAATGCTCAAGTGAGCTTCGCTAATTTGGATTCTGCGAGAATTTAAGTTAACATTAATCCAAATCAATACTAAATATAATATTTTATATTGTGTATACTATCAAATATTAAAAATAGTTTACCATTGTAATATGATGAGTATCGGGTGCATAGTGATTTTCGGTTTTACTTTATTAACAGTGAGTACCTGAAGAGGTACGTAAAGCATTCGAAACATGGTTCTTATTTTACAAATATATAATTATAAACATGTCTGAATAAAGGCAATCTTTTTCAGAATGAATTCAACTATCTTACAACATAAGATACTCTTAAAATGAAATTCTTTTATCAAATTAATGATATTTTAATTGATAAAATAAAATTTTGTGGTTGGTGTCATTTCACTAAAATAGACATTTTTTAATACGGAGTTGAAGTAATATATTTTGAAGGGTATGTTGGTCTTAGACTATATCCTAGCGGCGAAATCTGAGAGTCAACATCCCGTGCTTTCAACTGCAGAAAACTGCGTGGGATTCATTTCATCAAAAACGCGGGCAGTATTGTATATTTGCACACCGCTAGTTTTCGGGAAACACGGAGTGAACAACGTGCGCCACAGCCACAGGAGCGCGGTTTCACAAGGCGTGAAACATTGAAGAGAATCTACAGCCCGAGAAGCGGGCTGGCAGTGGAGGCGGTGGCGTAGTTTGGTTGCACTTGTGCAACAGCGATGAAAGTGCTCGACAGCCGCTCGTTACGCCCCCCTCCTCCCTCCCCCCCACCACCCCTGACTGCTGCGCGTCATTCCACTGAAACCGTTTCATTTACCTCCGACTGACATGTTGCATTCCCGTTTCCTACCATGGCTCCTTTTTGTGTGCGCCTTTTGCCACCATACTGCACTGCACCAGTGGATTTCGCCATTTATACCACTGCTCTCCAGCTGGCATTTCTTTGGCTGCTGCATATCTGTTTCTCTTTTGATTTGCTGATAAGTCAGAGGAGAAAACGGATTAAATTTGTGACCTCTTCGTTTTTGTCGAACATTTGTGTTTTGTCTATTCGGAGAAGTTGTTACGTTCTGTTCGATAAAATACAATATGGTTTATATGTTGTTTTTACTTTCTAGTGTCAATATCGAAATGCTTTTAAATATATATTTAACACTTTGTCTCTAAAGATTGAAGAAGACATTTTCACTTTGTGAAGGATTCAGAGATTGATGAGAATCTTGAACAAAAGCTCGATTTATGCTACGTGTTCCCTCATGTATAAACATTTTACACGAATTATATAAAGTTTCTATATCTGTTTTTCTTAATTTAATATTTCTGAGAAGGAATAATAAAATACTGTTAAGGTAAACGTAAATGATAATGCAATACGAGCATATAAAATGTTTTCATACGGCAACTGCAAAACTTGGTAATATAAACGAAATATTAATATACAAATTGAACCTACCAATTGGAAGTCTGTTTGGGCACCGAACATGCTGTCACGCCAACTCCACCACCACCGTGCCGTTTCCATATCCTTCCAGGTACTTCAGCGTTAGCGCCGCAAGGCGTCTCCCTGCCTCTCGACTCGCACCCCTGTTAGCGACGCGATTTAGTCCGATAATTTACGCGAGGCAAATCCCAGTAATTACACGCCTTTCTCATGCGTGTTCCCCTCGCTGGGGCGCCTTGGAGCGCGTTTACGCCGGTTAAGTACTTGCGCGGCGGTTGGTGGCGGTGACGACGGAGATGGCGACGGCGGAGGTCTGCAGAGGGGGCGACGTTGGCAATGACTGCGACGAAAACAACGGCGCTGAGGCTACTATACTAACTGCAGTGTTTGGCGACGCCGGCGTTGCTGATAGCCGTGGTGGCGACTCCAGCGATGTCAGTGGCGACAGCTGCTAAAACTGCAGAAGCAGTGGCAACAGACGAGGGGAGGGTGACACAGGGGATGACGGAGATTGATTGATTCATTATTTTATGCTTATGGGCGCGTCCACTGCTAGGGTCCTGTAAGTGTAGGGAATGTTTTATCACGGGATATGGCTATGTACGTCCCAAGCTGGATGGTATGAGATACGGCGCCGACATATATGTCTTCTTGTGGAGTTTTCTCATCCAGGTATCTTCCACCAGCTGGGCTCCGCCGCAACCGGGACAAGCTATAAGCTCCTGACTAGTTTTCCGGCATGTGTGGTAGTGTAGTGTAAGTGTATGTAACTAGTAGATAATATCGCTTGTCTTTGGTCCGTTAGGTAGGGTACTGCTCCAGCATTCGCGTGCTATTGATCGGATAAACTACAAAAAATTACCGATCCTAAAAGCCGGCTGCTAGAAATCTTCTCTAGACCGCAGCTGAATTCGACCTAGCTAATACCAATAATCCTTCCACTTATGGGATCCGAACCCTAGGGCTTCCCAGTCAGAGGTATTGCAGTTACATTGCAGTTGATGAGCTGAGCCACTTCAAACAGTGGGGCGACTTAGACGTCGGCGGAAAGGGCAACGGTGACGGCACCTCCAAAGAGAGGGTGCGACGGCGACGACGGCAGCTGCTATGGCGGCGGCGACTTTGGCGCTGGTGGTGGTGGCTGGTGGCGTTGCTCGGCGCCCGGGCTGCTAAGAGCGCGGCCCCGCCGACGCCCGCCGCGCCGGTCCCTGCGCCCTCCGAGCTGATAGTGCGCATTGCGACGGCCTCGATAAGGAGACGCGACGTTGACGAATGAGATTCCCGAACGATCGCGGCGTGTGCGCGTCTGGCGCGGACCTGCACGAGGCGTCAGGCGACGACGCTAGCGAGACGTCCGCGCGGTTACGGCGTTTGACGGGCGCCAAGAAATTACTTTCCCCGAAATTGGCCTTTGATGGTGCACTTATCTCTTTCGGGGGTTCGTGGTGTAAAATTGTATTTATTCATTACTCTTTAATAACGTAATTGATACTTCGGTAATCGGGATATTCAAATGAAATAGCATTACAATATTTTTATTGTTGGGATTTTGGTTTCACATTTTTATGAAGGTGGTGAACATTAATTAGAGGTGGTTTTTTATCTGTTTGCTGAAAAGCGTAATGATTTTAAAAGAGATGTTTCATTTTTCTAGTTTCATTTGTTTCCCAATGCTACGTAAATCATTTTTCGATTTGATGTAAATTCTCACAATCGTCATAAAATGTACAGCATATGAAGAGCAAAATAAATAGAGTTTTTTGATCGTTGAAAATAAAAGATGTCAATCAAATGTGCGGTAAATACACTTCAATAACGCGCGAGTCGTGATGATTTGTTTGAAAATACTGTCACTTTTGTGTTTTTCCCTTCAAGAGACTGAGAGATTCTATTAATGTCATTTAAACATCACAACATGACTTCTGTCATGTAAATATGAAATAAAAAAGGAATTTCAAAACTAGACTAACTTCAAACATTGATAACCTAACTTCAACCTTCATTCTTTTTTTACCGAAAGAATTGTTGAAAATACTCTAATCACATCATTTCAATAGCCTCCTTTAAATCTCCAATGATTAAAGAAATCAGAAAATTATATTTGTTTAAATGTAATCCTATGCTTTAATTTAAAAAAGATATTTCAAAATTTCTTTTTTTCTCTCATATGTAGTGTAATATGTGTAGTTTTGTCAAAAATATAACTAGATGGATTTGTCATCTAAACACTAATGCCGTGCGCTAATAATAATTCATTATTATTATTATTATTATTATTATTATTATTATTATTATTATTATTATTATTATTATTAGGGTGAAATGTGAGCAGTCATTCTTTCAAGATGGATTGTTCAAACATAAACCTTTGTAATACCGTTTGCATTATATTAAATATGCCATTGCTTGTGCCGAAACTGGTAATTGCGTTTTGTCGTATTTCTTGGAACAGCAATATTGTTTTACGCTTTACCTTTCTGTTGTATGTTCTTTGTGTATATGATTGTAGATAAAAATTCGTAGAATATGTCGCGACGCGTCGACAATAAATATTAGATGTACAATATATAATTTTGTTTTTATAAAATTCTTTACAAAATTATTTTTTTATATTTTTGTACTAATCTTATAAATCGACGATGGAAATAAGCTTACTTTCTCAGTCAATGAAATGACATTCATATTATGTTATCTAGATACCATGTCCTAAGAAAACCACCTCAACGTACCACCAACCTCCTATAAAATCACCCCAACGTAAAAGTACATGCCTATAATTAATGAGTTTAAGTGAGGTCCAATTTCAGACATCCCCAATTTTCCCTTAAATAATAGTTATTTTCGTTGTTATTTAATATACCCGTATTACTCCTGACTTTGCTATTTACTTTTATTAAGTACATCCAGCTTTAATGATGAAAATAAAATGTTATTATTTTTTCAGGTTAGTTGCTGTGTCCACGTCCTTAGTTGCTTTAAATTAAAACATTTCCCTCGACCCACCTGTCTGGTAAGTTTTTAAGTTAAGAATCATTCTTTTGAAGCTAAATGAATGTTGTGTCATGTTTATTGCAAAATATAAAAAAACAATCATACAATTGTAACATTACTTCTAATATACATTTTAATGTTTAAAATGGTAAAAAGGCAGTTAAGTTTTCAAATACAACAAAAATGACTCGGAATCAGAAATTTGATCAGAAATTTGATAATTTCTTTTGTAGTTATGCATATTGCAAACAGTGCTCTTATTCAAGTGGGTCAATTCGGCGACGTTTCCGTTATCAGACATGATATATTCCGCAAATACTACATTATATTTCACTGTAATAACAGGTGAAAGTTGTCGAAGGATGGTATGGGATATTGGAGAAACATTCACATCCATTGCAGAATCGTTTTCATTATTTTTTTTCAGGAGAAAACCTGTATTTAAAAAGTATTACTAAATTGAATTAATGACACCAAATCCTTTCTTTGTGATGAGTGTATTTTTATTTAGAGATATATTTTGTTGAGTAAATCAATATCCATTCCACTGCATCATTCACGCTTTACTTTGCATAAGTTGAAAATTAAGTGCGAATTAAACAATAAAAATGAATCAAGATAGTCTGTAAAAAAATCATGTTTGTATAATAATTTAATACGTACACACATTGTTTTCAATTTTATTTCATATTGAACGGTTTGAGATATTTGTTATTAAATTTAAAACACATACTTGTTTTGTCTTGGATAAATTGCTTACTAAAGAAATAAGTATTTCAAGACAATTGAAATTAAATTTTTGAATAAAATTAAAAAAATAGCTTAATGCAGGCTCTTTGTACGTGTAAGTAGTGCAACTCATCCTAAATTACACATTGGTATCCGTATTTCCCTCTTCCTCCACTTGTGTAGACAATTCGACATTTAACTCGTGCATATGCTATCCTCGCTCCTTGAAGTTACGTAAATTGTCAAATATTCCATATATGTTTGTTTGCATTTGGCATATGGAGGACGTATTAGTTCGACTTTTGCCTGCTAGCGCTATTCCCAGGCTTTTAGGTATTAACCACGCCTGGGAGTAAGGGAGACATGTGGTGAACATGGCGAATTCCCTTCACCATGTCTAGCATACTTGGCATACCTGAGCTTTTCGTTCGTCATACAATTTTAGAATCTGAGATGATTGCAATGAAAAGTTGCGGCTCTGTTTTCCCTCGACCATGAATCCGGGATCGCCTCTCGGAAAGCTATGTCCATGAGCCTCCCGAGAGACAGTACTCCTTGTGTACACCCTCTAATAAACAAATAATTCCCCATTGATGGCGGCTACAGAACTTCAAGCTCACCCGGCATGAGCGACGTGCAAAATGCTTCTAAACTAGCTGCAAAGCGCGCTTGGGCTCAATAAAAGTTTTTATTAATTGAATTACTTCTATATATTTCAATTTTTTTACAAATCAGAATATCACGTTCCCTGAACCCGCAAAACATCTATGTATGATAGGTTGCCTACCAACAGACGTCAGATTTGTAACTTTTTGTTATACGAAATTTTCACCGACAGTTCTTTCGCGAAAAGTGATGATCTTCGACTTCATTGATATTCTAATCTTTGTAATATTTATTATGAGACGCCTGTGCCATATAACGTACAGTTCACGGCCGGGCCATTCGTAGTTGGGTTCCTGCACAAAGTTATTTTCTTTTTAAAATCAATGAATTGCAAAGATAATAATGTTTGTTCTAATCACATAAGTTGAAATAAGCTTACTTTTCATTGCCACAATAATCCGTATGCATTTAGGTTCTGTGGTTGTAAAAAAGTAAAGTTAAAGGCATCTCCGTGCAATTGCACACAGGCCGATGTGACCAAAGGGAGAGGTGAAGACGGGGAAAAATTCTGATAATCACTTGGAAAGGAGGCTGAGTCGCCCTTAGAGCTGCCCTGAATGGAAATCAGATAAGAATCTCAACTTATGTCGGGTTTCGAAGCTGGGTCTATCAGTTCAGGAAGTCAGAGCCATAGCACTAAGCCACCGCGGTTTCTTTCCGTATGCTTTTTCTAGGACTTTCATCCTGCTGACCGCCTGTTATCCTTAACGGAGACTTTATAAGATGCTTATTCGACTCTAAACACCAACAGACTGGTATGCTCCTGTGGTCTGGGGTGAGCAGACTCACAAAGCCTTCCCTGTCAACACTAATACATGAAAGACAAGAGACATTCATCATTCATGCCCAAGGCGGGACCCGAAACCGCGACTTCTCGGACCGAAGCCCTGAGTCAGTACACGCTCATAGGCACCACCAGGGCCCGGCAACTCTCTATCAAAACTGGGGACAAAGCTCCAGGTTGCTACTATAGGAAGCGCTAGTGTCGCCAGGTGCAGCTGGAGGTTAGGCTAGCTAACTTTCCCACATAAAAATTGGCTAATTTGTGAGAAATACGAAAAGTGTCTTATAAATGTACTATTATTCATAATCTATACTTATAAGAAACCTCTGAATAATGCGCGAATATAGACGTTATCTTTTGTAACATTATGGGCCTGCTTGCGACCCGCGAACTCACACAGAAGCCGCGTACGTTTAAAGTATCGTTGGTAGCAGTTCGTGTTTTAGTTCATGTAAAGAAGGCGATGCAGCAGAGCGCGCCACCATAATGGTCTCCACCACGTAATATGAGAGTTATAGGGCCCTGGGCACCACGGCCATCCAAGCCGGTCCCGTGATACGTATTGTTCGAAAACAGTACACTTCAACCTCCTTATTTTCCCACAAAGTGCGAAGTCTCTCGTCCTTCTCCGACTGTGCCGCACGTGGCCTCACTATCCGGCGGCGGGGCGGCGCATGGTAGCGCGGCATGGAGTGGCCGCCGGGTCCTCAGCTACCCATCGGGCAGGGTCGCCGCGACAGCCCCAGACGCTCAAGGGCCGTCGCCGGATCGATACGCTAGTTACAGGGGGGGGTAAAGGCAAGGCAAGGCAAAGGCAAGGGCAAGGCGAGACGAGACGAGTCGAGGCGGGACGGCGCGGGGACGGTGGCCCCCGACGCTAATGAAGTGACCGCGCGAAGCTCCCCGCGCGGCCACCCGTATTAATGAGCGTCCGGCCGCCGCGCCGCCTCGCGAGCCTCCGCGCGGGAATTTTTGCGGGGCCGCGCGCGGTTCTGTTTAATCTTGCATCCCGGCAGTCCCAGTCTACCAATTATAATGTGTTATAGTTGGACCGAAGCCATTACTCTTGTATATTTTGCGCGCCGCTCTCCACATTTAATACGGGGCGCGCCGTTACCAGCGGTATGGAGATGAGCTCGAAAGTTAAATGGATTGCGAGTAGTTACGCGCGGATTTAGTGGCGGCTGCGGCGAGCGCTCGTCGTCAGGCGGCGGCTTCGGGGCAGGAAGCGCTTCGCTCCGACGCCGCAGGCGTTCTCGCTTCAGCGGGGGGATGTTTGGAATTCTTTGGCTCTAAAGCGGCGGCGGCCTACCTGGAATGTGACTGGCCTCACTGGGGGCTGACCTTTTGCAAGGCGGTAGGCTTCGTGGTGAAACAAGCCAATAAAGGTTTGTTACCCATTCAAATTTATGTTCTTAACTTTGAATTGGAAGCTAATTTTCAAGTTCTCAGATTTAACTATAAAATATTAGATATTTTATTAAATACATGAATACCAGATATTATTTATTGTACAGTCCCGAATATATAATGTAAAACGCTGAATTTCATAATAATGGCGAAGTTCATACTGGTGCACTGATTTTTGGTTTAAAGAACAATCGAATGAGTTAGTATTGTCTGATAATTAGAATCCGCTGAGACAGTTGTGGTAAGAGGTTTCTGATAATATTACAAAAAAACTGGGGTAGTTTGTTTCAAAGACCGTTGCTACTTACTCGCTTGGCAATAATGTGTAGTGTTTTTATTTTTGATAAGACGAATATACTTAGACTACTTTAGACAAATTTGTTACTAATGTGTTCTCCAATAAACCGTTTGTATTGTATGTTCTTAGTTCCCATTATAATGTGATAAAGACAAAATAATTTAGCTAATTTCATTAGTTGCCTCCCTAGAGGTGTTTTAAGTCACGGTCTTTATTTGGAACTACACGCATACCATATATCGCTCAGAACCCGACAGTACACTAGAGTTGGGAACAAGACTTACATAACTTCTGAAACCGAAAAAGTGAATAACGCCGAAATATTGACCAATTGAGGTAGTTCAGGGTACTAATCAGGATCTCAGCGGGGCTTCTGACTGGGAGGTCTTACGGTTCGAGTTCCGACGATTGCAGAATTTTCGACATTAGCTAGGTCGGTCAAATATGTAGATCGTATTCAACTGCTGTCTGGGGAATTCTAGCGACCAGCAGCTCTTTTTGGTAATTTACCTTGTTCCATCAATATCTGGTTAATGTCGGAGCAATATTCTAACAAACAATTCACGGGACCGCGCGCGATTTTTCCTTCACCTTTCTTGTGTCATTCCCTCTTACTTACACAAATTTACTCTTACATGCATTACACAATCACTTATCTCCGAAGACCAGTCAGGAGCTTGTATCGTGTCACGCTTGTGTTGGTACTTCACTGATGGGGATACAAGAATGAGGAAAACGCTACAAGCTAACGTAGATCGGCGCCGGATGTCACAATTCAGCGGGAGAAAAAACCGCCACCTCCCGTTGTAAATAGATACAATACGCTCACAGGACTGATGGAAAAAGGAGTTCAAGCACCGGAAACGACAAATATCAATCAAACAACCGAATTATTGTACGGAACATTGCAAATCAAATTCGATTTTATAATGAAATCTTTTACTTGGGTGCTAAGTAATGGGATCAACATTACGCAAGTTTTCAATTGAAATCTAGAATTATATTCATAATATATAATACACTATATTCCATGTGTCTTTAATCGGGGTCTGGAGTTTAGTGAACGATGACTCATTCACGTATGAAGTTTTTAAAATACAAATAACAAGGGTGCTAAGGTATTGCGATCAAC